TTCTGTGGAAGGCATCTGGGGAAAATTTCAATGATTCTGGAGAAAATTTCAATGATGGAAAATAAAAAGTAAAAGAAAAATGCTTTAAAAAAAGAAAAGAAAAATGTTTGAACAACAAAAAAAGACCAAGACACAATTGTGTATCCTGAAACAATGGCACAATTGAGTATCCTGACACAATTTTAAAAAACAATTAAAAATATAATTAAAAATGAAAATATTATAATTAAAAATAAAATAAAAAATAATTAAATTAAAAAATATTATAATTAAAAATTATTATGATTAAAAATTATTATAATTAAAACTTATTGTAATTAAAATTATTATAATTAAAAATTATTATAATTAAAAATTATTATAATAAAAAAAATATTATAATTAAAAATATTATAATTAAAAATTATTATAATTAAAAATAAAAATAAAAATAATTCAAAACAAAATAAAAAAAATAAATTAAAAATTAATATAATTAAAAATAAAAAATAATTTAAAATAAAATAACAAATAATTAAAAATAAAAAATATTATAATTGAAAATAAAAATAAAAAACAATTAAAAAACTAAAAAAACATGAAAAAAACTTACACCAAAATCCTGTGGACACAAAACTGTACCCCTCGATCATTTCCACAGTTACAAAATAATTTTGGAGTCTGTGGACACAATTCTGTATCCCCACACTAATCTGTATCCCACATTATATATATATATATATGTTGTCATTATCCTATCTCATAATTAAATTGTAACAGATAAATGGGATATGTAGTGGAATCATTGGATAATGGATAACAAATTGGAATATACAATGTGTTAACTGTGTTAATTGGATACATAGTATCCCCCAAAGGATAGAAACGTGTTTCCAGGATGGTATAGATACAGTTATATTTACCATATATTCCCAGGGTTTCCCACTGTTCTATCTATTTTGGGGTTGCTATCACTGGAAGGTTAGGGATATTATTTACATGTACCTAGACAATCTGAAGCAATTGCTCGTACAAATGGTGAATAGTTTTTCAATGGAGGGGGAAAGACTTTTCATGTATGGATTCAGGGTCTGGGTACAGCAACTCAAAGAGCAAGAAGAAATATCTACTGTACATGTTCACTATTTGATCATATCCCAACATGCTTGTACTTGTATGCCAGAATCACATGTTTTGATTAAGCTTAGTGGAAACATGTGGAAGCACATTTCTTTTCATGTGAACTTTGGGCTACCAAGTTGGGTCGCGCGTGGTGAGAAAAAACAAAGTCGAAAACCGCAACATAAGCTAGCAATCTCAACCAACTGAGGAAGAATTGTAGAGTACCTTAGGATTTCCAGCGAATCACCAGGATATAGCTAGGTATCGTGTCTTTTGGTGTTGCACCGCATTACTGTACCTGTGCTATAGTCAACTCTTTGCAACTGTTGCATTTCATGGGATGTGGGCTCGTGTCACCAACCATTTGATTCAGCATTTACCACCCAGTTGATTTCTTCCAGGTCCGTAAGTCAGATGTATATATATATATATTATGATATGGAATTTTGACAATATCACCGTGTTGAACCGATAAACATGATGTTTGCGGGAAAGCTTGAAACCACCCGCCGCGTTTCACCAGCAGCCAGGTGCCATTTACCAACCCAATCATGATAAGACATCATGTGTTCTCCTTGCAGAAAAGCTCCCCCAATTTCGATAGCAAATTTAGGAAAGTCGATGTCCACGTAAGTAGTTGTAAGCCCAGGGTAACCAAAAAAACAATGGATATCTATATATACATATATGAATTATGTAAAAAATATATATATATGATGTATAGTTATATATGTATATGTACATATTATTATATTATATTTTATTCAGTTATATTGTGCTATAAAATGCTATAAATATATGTTCTTTTTCTAGATCATATTTTATTATAGTGTATTATATTTCATTGTATTCTATTGGATTGTATTGTATTATATGTTATTCTATTATAGTATAGTATGGTACAAACCTGTATTTTTATTTCAACTAGTATATACATACAATATATGTTATATAATGGTACATTATAATATTAAATATATATATATATATGTATTAAATATACAATATATATATATATATATTGTATATATATAGTATACAATATATACCATTATACATGTGTTATATATGATGTATATTGTATGTGTTGTTCAATCTATATTATAACATATATATATATTTAAAATAACTTGTATTATATATGTATGTTATATTATATACATTATATATATGTTTTATATATTATATAGAGTATATGTTATTTAAACTGTATATATTATACATATTATATATATATATTATACATATTATATTATATATCTATATTAGACTTACATGTTGTTATATTATATTTTACATATTGTATTTATACATATTATATATACTATACATATTATATTATATATTACACATGTGTTATATTATATACATTTTATATACATTATATATACTATATATTTGTAAGATTATATATATATATATACATATTTATTTTTGTATATATATATATATGTTGCGTACTATGTTTTAATAGTTTTTTTTTTTTAAAAAAATATGTTTTGCATATGTTGTATTATACTATGTATCGTATTTTATATGTAGTAAATATTTATATATACATATTATGTACATATTATGTATATATTATGTATATATTATGTATACATTATGTATATATTATGTATATATTGTGTATATATTATGTATATATTATGTATATATTGTGTATATATTATGTATATATTATGTATATACTATGTATATATTATGTATATATTATGTATATATTATGTATATATTATGTATATATTATGTATATATTATGTACATATTATGTATATATTATGTATTATATATTATGTATATATTATATAAAACAATATATTTGTATATATATATATATATACATTTGTTACAGTTTATTATATATCATATATAATAGATTTTTTACATGATAGTTCATGATATATATATATATATATTGTTACATATTTTATTTTTATATCATGATATTCATTTAAAGCTGGATGGCTTACCATATACCAACACACCGCCAGGCTCAGGCCGCGGCCACCCCTGCGGCCGCAGCCCCTGTGGTGGCAGCCGCAGTCGCGGCAGGCCTTGACCGAATCTCAATATTGGGTTCATTTGGCTTCAATCATCACCATGGATTACTAAATGAATCATGAAGAATGGGTAAAGCGCAAATCATGGTGATTCACAGTCCATTCGATAAACGGACAGTTGTACACGCGCAAATCGAGATTTCCACCCATGAAAACCTGGGTTGGGTGAAGAGTTGGAGAGCTCAGCACTAAAAAGGATAATTTATTCGCTATCATTACATGGTGCATGCTCAGCCATAAATTGTGGGACCTGCATGTCATATTGGTTGTAAGCATGACAAAATGGTTTGAACCTTGGTTTGGACCGGAACGACATAATATCTTGGTAAGCAAAGAATAGATGGGTAAATCGACCCAATTTCCCTGGGGTTTTTCACCACCAAGAATGGACGGAATGGGGCTTTCAAGCAGCAACAAAAATCGGTAAACCTGGTGGGTGAATGGCAAGTTGATAGGTATCCCATCCATGGTGATTTGAGGAATTCAACATACGCCATGGATTGCTCTGCGAACATCTGCGAACCAGCTAAACAATAATTATCAAACAAGCCTCTCTCGCGTATTGTGAAGTTGACACAGGAATACTTGCACTTGTTGCAGCTCAGCCTGGCCCAAGCTGAGGCAAGATTGCGGCAAGATGAAAGCCTCCCCTTCAGCTCCGTTGATACGTCGTAGTTTTTGTCATGTCCTTGGTTTTATTTACTGTGCCCGAAATTTCCGACCTGCCGGAGCACGTCCCAGCACAGTCAAACCAAATCCCTGTCCGGCTTGGTCCGAGCATTTTGCGAGGAAAAATGTTGAGGCTCTGGGTAGTCCAGTGGTCATGCTGGAAGGCTCTCCAGGACGTTCGACTGGAATGTGCTCAGACTGAACACAGAGGGCTCCAAAAGCTACATCTGTCAAATGTGATCAAATGTGGTTCTTGGAGCCCTCTGTGTGCAGTCAGAGCACTTGATGATTCAGGTCATTGGTGTGTTGAACTGGGCTGTGCTTGCTGACCGATTGCTGACCTTACATGGCTGCTTCTTTCTTCTTTCCGCAGTTCCAAGCCTAGGTGATAAACCAGGTGCAAACTGTTTCAATGAGCTGGCCATGAGCAACCTTTCATGCTCATGGCCCCAAAGGTCAATGGCGAGTGATTTGGAGGGTTTTCGGGAGAGAACGACCAAATACACTCCCGCACAAATTCTCTTTGTTACCAAGCCAATGGAATTCATCAGTATGTCCAGGAACAGAACATGTGCAGAATTCTGTAACATGTAGATACATGCAATGTAGGTAGTATGATGATATGGCAGTGTGTCAAAACCTTGTACCCCTGGTGAACATCAAAATAGCTGGTAAATGGATGTTCATCCCACTAAAAATGGTATTAATAGGTATTGATCCATACCCATATATGATAATGCAATGGTTGCCATGCACGTTCCACATTGGGATCCTCGCAGGGTCTCCGCCTCCATGGTGCTGGAAATCACCCAGAAATCACCTTGTAGGTCAACATACAGGTCACCCGACAATCTCCTGCTTGATCCCATATTTTTTCATTAATAGAATTTTAAATACTTGTGTATAGTGCCACAATGTGCCACAAATAGGTTGTCCAACCCATTTTCCGAGACCCATTTTCAGACAAACCCATTAAACCCATATCATGCTGCTGGTGGTGTATATCCCGTTTTATTCCAACTGTATCGCTATAAACCGGTTGTCATGTCATCCTTGCACTCCAACTTTTTGTTGGTCAATCTTCCATTTGAGTATTAAATTACTTTTTTAATACCAACTTTAGTGGTAGCCATCATCATCCCAGTTTATCACCCCCAATATACC